CTACTGATAAGCTCTAATATGAGCAAAACTCAAGTCTGGTGCTTCGGAGTGTATGGTTGAATCCATGAACTGAGGAATGTGCGGGAAGGTGAAGTCTGAAGGATGGTCGGTTCAAATAAATCAATCAATACTATCTATTAATCAGGTCGTTTGGTAATGGGAACGGTTATTACAATCAAATGCTTGGTGATAGGATTTCGTGTATAAGATTAAATTGTTTTCAGTTTATCGGATTAAAAAGAACAGGATAATTTTATAAAGTGAGGAGAATACTGTGGTGATCCAGACTTATGTGACCGCAATCCAGGCACTACCATGTTAGCCAATCACCGTTCAGGAAGCTCGACCAATGGTATACCGGGAGAACATGACATCCGAGTTGGTACATATGACGCATCGGTGCAAACGGTTACGTGATTGAACGACGGTCGTTCAACCAATCATATGGACTATTACCTTCTACAAAACATTATCTAATTCCATCAATAAACATAAGCATTTGCTGCTATCAATTCCTCGTGTGCTTCATTGGTGTCCGCAGTTCGGGTTGGAGCCAATCCAGTTCTGAGCATAACGGTACGGGTTCCCGTATTCCTAAATTCAGTACTATTCCGATTACCACAATTTGGGGTCGCGCAATGGAGATCCCTACCACTGAACCATTGAACCTGCACGGAAGCCCATCAGAAATCGAAGAGTGGATAGAACGTTTTGAATTATGGTGCAGCATTCGGAAAGGAGGAATGCAAAATCAGTAGGTCCTATTTTTGACGTTGGGCGGCCGAGAGCTGTATTCCCTGGTGAAGACTCTGGCGTTCCCGAATGTTCCTGCTGAATTGCCGTTCGAGAATTTGAAATCCCTACTGCTGGATCACATTCTCCCAGTGGATTTTCAGGCCACTGAACGGGCCGAATTCAACTCAATGATCAGAGCTGCCGACATGCCATGCCGTGAATTCATCCTTCAGATGAATAAACAGGCGTCAAAATGTAACTGTGGTGATCGGTTGGAAGAACAGCTTTGTGGTCGTCTCATTTCTGGAATCAACAGCATCCCATTATAACGTAAGATGGTGGAAAAGAAAGACATCACATTTGCTGATACTCGAAAAATCTGAGAAAAGTGATGATGTGTGCTGCCAAAAGTGCGGATACTCCTGTGTTATTCCATCGGCAATTAACGAAACCATTGTGTGACGCCCCCAATGTTCATAATGCACCTCAGGTTCCTCAAGTACCCAGTTCAAGCCAAACAAAACCGAAGGCTGTGACCAACCACTGCTTTTCATATGATGAATACCATCTTCGTTCGACTTGTCGGTTCCGTAACGCCACTTTCCATGCATGTGGTAAGATTGGCCATATCCGCAAGGTATGCCGAATGCCCAAGTGTAATCTTGTCGATTCCCATATCCCAACGGCAGATGAGAACTCAAGCCCAATCTACACCACTGAACTCAGCAGCCAGTTTGTATCCCCCCCCCCCTCCTCATAGAGGTTCGAGTCTGGTGTGGAGCGTCAATTCATCATGGACACAGGAAACAGCGAATCTATCACACCGAAATCAGCACTCACTGCGATTAGTCCTAATGCTATTTTAACCCCGACTTCTATGCGCATTTCATGGGGTTACCGGTCATCAATTGCAATTACTTGGCGAAACGATGATGTGCGTTCAGTCTGAGTCCGGTGTGTCAATCCCGATCCGGTTCCTGATATCAGCCCACAGTCCGTCTATTCTGGGCCTGCGAGCAATGCGGCTACTACACGGATCTCACTACATACCAACAACGATATGCCAATCACTTAACATCTTCAGCATTTGATTGTACAATGTTCCGGTAATGTTTGTGGCATGAAGGTACTGTCGGTACTGGACGGTGAACCTGTTTTCCTAAAACGATGCGTTCTCCCATACGGTCAACGGGAAGGTGTCCTGAAAGCGTTACAAAAAATTGAACAGGATGGTGTGATAAGCAAAGTTGAATCCAGTGCCTTGGCGACCCCGATTGTCGTGGCGATGAAAAGTGATGATGGGATACCAGGGATTTCTGGAGACTATCGACTGACGTTGAATCCCAGATTGCGCAGATGTGCAGCTACCACCATGAAACCAGCGAATTTCATGAAGTCATTGCACGGTTGCCAGTATTTTTCAAAAATCAATTAGGCGAACGCATATCTACAGATTCTACTCGATGTCGAATCTCGCTATGTGACAACAATCAACACGCCGTGGGGAATGTACCAGTATAATTTTCTCCCATTCGGATTGCATGTATCGTGTTGATTCCATTCAGCCCTGCACCCAAAATATTGTGTGACCCATTACACTCGTCCTTCTATAAAACACGATTTAATTCATCAATAAAGATAAGCATTTGCTACTATCAGTTCCTCGTGTGGTTCATTGGTGTCCGCAGTTCGGGTTGGAGCCAGTCCAGTTCTGGGCATAACGGTAAGAGTTCTCGTATTTCTGCATTCAGTACCATTCCGATTATCACAAATACTCTAGTGGAAACAGTTATTTGTGAGCATGGAATTGTTTGTGAGTCTGAAAACTACAAACGTCTCAGATTTCCAATATTCAAAGTACACCGATGTGAACATCCTCAGATGTTGTAGTTAGTAACAAGGCATTTACCAGAACTCCCTTCGGATTAAAGGTTACCATTGATTTTTGTACACAAGGGTTAAAGCGATATTTCGCTTATTTTACCGGGTTTTAAATGACCTCAGGTTGAAAAAATGTATGGAAGTCGTAAGAGTTAGAAGCGACCTTGAATAGTGCTGAATTTTTGAAGTATTCAAAAATACATACACAAGTTTACACGCAAATTATGGAAGTTGAAAAGAGAAAAAACGAAATCATAACCTGCTACAATAAAACGCATAATTAGGTGAAAAGTTTGGAGAATATATCGTTTGGGGGTGGTGGTACGTCGCTCTCAGTTGCTAAAGTATTTTGCCTAATAGAATAATGATGTCCTAAGTCAACCGGAACAACAAACTTTGTCGGGGATAGGTGGTTAACAGAAAACGGAATTTAGAAGATTTAAACATCATTTCTACGGTGTGATTGTTTAGGAATTCCCCTGTATTATGAAAGAGAGGTGACTAAATTTCGAGTAAGCCTCTTTAGAATGACATTGAATTGCATGAGATCCTTCGAGAAATTACCAAACGAATATGATCAACTGACAATGTTTTAGGCGAATCGTCGAGCGGCTTGTTTTGAGGATATCTGAAGGTAGCTACCCGCTGTGCATTCTATTCGGGGTGAGGGAAGAGGTAGAAATTATAGTGAGTACATTATGGAACTGGAGATATGGAGCACATATCAATGGATTCATTTACAAGGGAAAGGCACTTCACGCAAAACAAAGATTCGGCGCAGTACCTGAGGCTGGTAGCATAAATACCAACCGATCTTGTAGTAAAAGATACTGTTAAAGAAAGATGATAGAAGACTATGACCATGGAACCGCTTTGATCGCGTGATCTAGTAATGTTAAAAAGGCCGCATGTTCCAAGAGGATTTACCACTATGATTGAACTAAGAAAATAAACAATCCACATTACAGCATTTGGCACAACTTTTTAGCAAACGTCTTTACGATTCAAGATGATATTGCCTAATTTGTCCCCTAATTTGCTCGGTCTACCTAAGCCAATCATATTTAATGTGGCTTATCGATCGTATTTTTGATCTAACTCGTGGCACGATACGCCAACTGTACCATTCCCCGGCATCCCGAAATTGATTGTTTCCCGTTGGATAGTAAGTTTGATGCGCGCGTGGAATACGAGTCACTTAAATAGTCTTCATTTAAAACAGTCCATCAATGAACTTGGACCGAGGATGCCCTTCTGTTCAATTAAATTGCACTCAAAAGTCAAGTCAGCAGTATTGGGTTCGGTGTTAGGTCGCATACTTTCGTGTTTTTGGTCACGTGCGCGTGACTGAATATCAACCAGACGGCGAACTAAACTCTTACGACCCCCCTTTAGCGTTGGTGTGGGGATTTGTTTAAATGAAGATCAGATTCTGATCATTTGTATCCACCCACGCATTCCATAGCTGTCACATCGCATTTGTCCTTGATATTGATTGACTTATAGCTGTCCACAACTGATTAACTAATCGGACGATTTGAATGCACAGTTGATGCTAGAAAGAAAATGTTCACATTTTTACTTAGTCACCCACAGTCACAAATTGTTTTATTCATCCCAATGGATGGATTTCCAGTCCAACTCATCTTGTACTGATATGGTAAAGATCACCACGCGCATCGCACCGCACACCACGGGTGTTCTGATTTGTCGGTACGTCGCATATCTAGGCTAATCCGATCGGTTTATTCTTCCTTTTTAACTTTTAACCTCAGAAATGATATTTTTTCAGAGAAACTCCTACTTGCTGGCCTAAATCGTTATACCTATCCGCTTTCTGTGATCATATTACTAGTGGTGAGACTGAATATATACACCAAATCAATGGTCGTTGATTATTAGTAAATTGCTTTAACTCTATCTGTCGTTATCTCACGAATAGGAACATACGCGCTGTGAATTGCGTATAATTGATTGTGTCGTGCGCTCATCAGAGATAAAAGGTAGCCAATCGAATGATCAATTTATTTTAAATCCTTCAATGTAAAATAATGAAAGAACTAAATGATTTATTAGTTAAATCATTCATTGATCTACTGAAAAGGATGGATCTTGCCCCCAATTGTATTTCCCGTAGGTCTCAGGTTTTTTATTCTCGGGTGAACATGTGTACGTCTGATCCGCGCTTCCATACAACACACTTGTCCATGTATTGAAACCGAACAGAAGGAATCGGACAGTACCGTACCGGGATAGTGGGTAACACCAAATCGATTCGCTGACGCTGTACAACCAAACATTCCTTG